AGTTGCCTGACTTGTCATGTCAACCAAGCTACTACGTACCAAGGGATGCCATATGTTTCCTGCCACATGACAGGACTTCTTCCCCAGTATGGGTGCTGACATGCTGCTAAACCTTCCTCATTCTCATCCTACTCAGCCACTATCACTCAAATGCTCACAAATGTCCGGGGCTCACTAATAAGGTGGTGTGGATAGGACAGAGAAGTCCCTGTATTAAATTATCTTCAAACGCCACTGACATGCATGTTGGACATTTATAGAGAAAATATTGGGTGTTATTTTATGCAAACAAAACTGTCAGTGACCCTCAGTGAGATTCAGCATTTCTTGACAAAATATGTTGGATCCTCTGTCTGAACTATCCACAGAGCTTTGCTTTCATCTTTCTGTAAGGCAACATGATTTTTCTTAAAGAGCAAGCACTTTAGAGCCAGCAAACATGGTTTCTACTCTTGCTACCTACTAGCTGTGAGACCTTGGTCTTTAACTTCCTTCAAAAATTAGCATAATGGCTAGTCTCAATGTTGTTATAAAGTTTGAAAGAGGGAATGGGGTCTTACAGATAGATGGAACCCAACCCATGGTTTTCATCATTTGAAAAGGCATTTATGAAGCACATTCTGTGAGTCAGCCCTGAGATGAGAATGTACAAATGGATAATTCCCACTCCTTGCTCTGAAAACATACATGATTTAGCAGAAAGAAAAAAAAAAAGACATGAAAATAAATGGTGGTGATTCTCAGTCCTGGGGGCTATTTTGGCTGTGTGATAAAAATGGGATGGTGCATAGAGCACTGTGTCAACTGTGTTGGGGAGGTGAGGGAGGCATATCATAGAATGCTTTTCTGAATAGATGTTTCAAAGTATCTAGAAAAATGATAGGAAAATGATGGCCATAAGACAAAGACATTCTGAACACTTAGCTCTCCAGTGTTAAAGAGCTTTAAATTTTAGCTGTTCTTTCCTGCTGTGATTCTTCCTATGTCAGTTCTCTGTCTGGAATTCCATCTGGCTGGCCACTGCCTGAGGCGCTGAAAGGGCTAGGCAGTGGTCACTGGGAATTTGTTAGTCATGGTAAAATTAGCCACACACTGTCTTTGTACTCAACAGTATGAAATGCACAGAACCTGCTTGGTCCCAAGGGGAAGATATTCGGGGGCAGGGGAGTAAAAATATCAGTTGGGCCGCCTGGGTGGCTCAGTGGGTTAAGCATCTTACTCTTGATTTTGGCTCAGATCATGATCTCACAGTTTGTGGGAGTGAGCCCTATGTCAGGCTCTGCACTGACAATGTGGAACCTGCTTGGCATTCTCTCCTTCTCCCTCTCTCACTCTCTTTCTCTCTCTCTCTCTCTCTCTCTGCCTTCCCCTCCCCCACTCATGTGCACACTCTTTCTCTCTCAAAATAAACATTTTTTTTTATAAAAATACCAGTTATTATCACTATCATGTAGCTCCTAATATGCTTTGCAACCATTCCCCATTCAAGTCCTGCTTACATATTTCCATCAGGGAATAACAAAAATTCCCTTGTGTCTGTAGGTCTTGACTAACAGATAATTCACTGTATTTGTCTTAGTAAAGTAAAAGGATAATTACATGTTGTAAAAGGCTCTGTTCGAAATTCACAGACTGAGAAACTGGCTGACTTTGCATGTGTAATGTAAAAGGACTCAAATTCTGTGAGTACTTCAAGGTGTCTTCCACATGTAATTTAAGTGTCACTAAAACTTTAAAAGAGACATTACTGGAATAATTTAAAGGAGAATAATAAAGTAATTAGTTTAAAGTAGTGATAAGTAAAGTGAGATTACTGAATATTTCTTTGTTTTAATTATATGGGCTAGGCTAATGGTGAGGAAGCTATCAAGAATTCTAGTTACTCATTAATCTTGGTTAGCAAGCATCATTGATCTTTACCCAAGAATGACTGTTGGCACTTCCTAAACTAGTGGAATATATACAGTAAAGGAAGGGATTAAACAGTTTAAACAAAGAAATACCATTAGCAATTAAGCATATAGAAAAAATGGTCGTTTTCACTAATGAACACAGAAGTACTCATAAATCTGAAGTATCATTTTATACTTAACAGTTTTTTTAATTATAATATCAGTGCCTCTAAGATTGTGGTGAAAGTGATGTTTATATATTCTATATTTTTTATTTGAAAATATATTAAATATAATAGGTAGAGAAGAGGTAATAAAATGGTACAAAACTTTTGAAAAGTAATTAATAGCATAAATCAAGAACCTAGTAAATGTTGGGATGCCTGGGTGGCTCAGTCAGTTAAGCATCAGACTCTTCATTTCGGCTCAGGTCATGACCTCACAGTTTTGGGAGTTTGAGCCCCACATCTGGCTCTGCGCTCACAGCACAGAAACTCTCTCTCTCTGCCCCTCCCTCGCTCACATTATCTCTGTCTCTCTCAAAATAACTAAATAAGCTTTAACAACACCAACAAAAAGACCTAGTAAATGTTTGCATTTGGGGAATATAGTCAAAGGAAATTGTCAAATAAGAAAAAGTAATTGGTATCAATATGTTCCTGAAGCATTGTTAATGATATTAAAACAGTAGAAAAAACCCAAATACCTAACCATAAAAGGATAGTTAAATAAATTATTGTATATAATTATATAATTATAAATTATTATATAATATGCATTATATTATAATAGTAAATTATTATTATATGTTGAGAGGAAGTAACATTATATAACACCAAAATAATAATTATGGAATCCCTATAAAAATGCTTAAATTATAATGTGAGGAACAAATGCAGGATGTAATCTTATATATGGTCCATGTATATATAAAATTATGTCAAGCACATGTGGACATATAGAAAGCAAATAGCATAGTGTGGAAAGTACACACTTGGCAACAAGACAGGCTTTAGTTTGAATTCTGGCTGTTGATTTCTGATAAGTCATTAAAGTTCTGTGTGTCTTTTTTAATATATAAAATGTGGATACCCATACATACCTATAGGACAGCTGCAGTATTTAAATTAGATAATTCTGTAACATGATACAAGGTAATGGAATTATATGTGAGTTTTTAAAGCTTTTCCTTATTTTGATTTTCATTAATTTTATAGTATTTTTACAATAGAAAATGTATTTTAATTTGATATTTGTCACCAAACTTATATTCACAAATATACACTTTGGGGCAGTGACTAGATAGCTGAAAGAAGTGATCTAAGTAATTTTTATTTAGTACTAAATAAAGTTAAAGTAGACACACTGCTAAATCATATTAGTTCATCTACTTAACAAACACTTATGTAGTTTTACCATGTAACAGGCACTGTTCTAAATGTTGTATTCCCTGAATCCTTGTAACAATCCCTGGAGGAAAGTACTATTACTATCCCAATCTCACAGGTAAGAAACTGATACACAGATACCGGTAGATATTGAGCAAGGTCACATTGGTCCATGTGGTGGAGCTGGGATTTGAACTCAGGAAGTCTGGCTACATGGTCCAGCTCCTGAATGCTCTGCTGCTTTTCAACTGGTCAATCAAAACATGTTCAGTGAACATATATAGTGCTTGACACTGTGAAGGATGCCAGCAAACTTAGGACACAATCCTTAACTTAAAAAAACATTCTCTAGCTTTTAGCTACTGTCCCAAATTTTGCTCCCTCAACCTCACATAACTGTCATCCACGTCACAACTAAAAACTATTCACAGAGAGATACTGCTTCTCGTCCTTAATGACCGAAGTTCTGGATGAAACTCTGTAGGCTACAGCTTGGCTCTCTGACAATGTTGGTGTTTTCAGAAGTATATGCTGAGAAATGGTGGAGCTGTCTATGTAAAGGTGTCTAACTGTTCTACAAACAGTGGACTCGGGTTCTCTGTATTCATATATTTGTGTATATACACCTTCATACCCTATATGTATATGTAACTAACATTACAACTAAGATATTAAATCAATACTGCAAACTAACATTACACACTGAAACACATTTTATAATACATTTTAACACATAGGAAATCCACAAAGCATTGCTTCTTGCTGTTGTCATTGTGCATATCTTAGACAAAACTCTCTCTAATCGAAGAGTATTCTGAGATTGCAAAGCACATTCTTACAAACTTGAAAAATTGTCACTAATTGGGAGATGAGACAACATGATGGTTAAGAATAATGGCTTTAAAATCAGTGTAGATGCCATCTCAAGCACAGGTATTTACCACATGACTTGGACAAGTTTCTAAACCTCTCTTTAGCTTAGTTTCTTCATCTGTTAATGGAGACAGTGCATACCTCATAGGATTGAGAGAAGTAAAAGATATAAACATACAAACTTAGAAAAATGACTCAGGCAATATAAGTGCCTAAGGAAGAATAAACATTATAATTCTTACTGCAACTGCTTATCCATAAGATAGGTCTTATTACCACGTGACCAAAACAAGATGTGGAATTACATTAAATTCTAAGGTTGGTATGCAACCATAGTCTCATTTTTCAAGTTTTTGTGTTCATCCAGCAGCTGAATTGTTACTAATTTTACAGGTGTTACAAGTGTGAACTAAAATGAAAACTTATACTAATTAAATACTTCTGATGTTCAAATTCACTGTTTTAAACTTTGTTATAAAAAATGTTCTGCATTAAAAAAGTAAGACACTACATTATGATGAAGTTTATATTTCTATGCTCTTTGTTGTCTCATTCCAAAGGGAAAAAATTACCTCTTCTAAATATTTTGTTTCCATTAATGTCTGTCATTTGAAGTTTACTTCAAATGAATAATACATGTTGAAATCAAGTTTTAAAGAAATATTAACCCCTTATCTGGTAGAGTACTAAATTTTGTGGATGAGTCCACTTATCACCAAAGAATAGCCATTCAATCTCTACTGTATTTCTTTCAAGATGGGCCCTTTACTTGACAATAAGACTGATGAGAATGTGCAAAGACATTTTAAATAAATGTTCTGTGTTTGTTTTTCTTTCTTTGTTGCAGTCATTCTCAGCACAGCACGGCAACCCGCCAGCCTTCCGTAACTCTCCAACGGGCCATCTCCCTGGAAGGGTAAGATAATAATATGGAGCCTTCTCTTAAACTAAACCGTGCAGCCTCATCACTTGAACGTAAAGAAATTTTCTTTATTTCTTCCTTTCTTTCTTCCTTCTTTCCTTCCTCCTTCCCTACCTACCTTCCTTCTTTCCTTAGCAAATATTTATAAAACTTATGTTATATGCCAAGTACTGTGCTAGGTACAATGTTTAACAAGACACATAAGATCTCTTCTTTCCCTTCAGAACTCTTATTGTCTGGTAGGAGGGGCAGAAATACAGACACAAATTTGTATCCTGTGTAACCATCACAAAGAGAGGCATATAAGAGATTAAGGGAGGATCCAGGTTGGACACATGGATGAAAATGGGCATCAAAGGAGGGGGAAGCAGTTCAGGATGGTTTCAGAGATTATATAACTCTCAAGCTGAGAACTGAAGCATCTGTGGATATTTGCCTGACAGACACTGGAAGTAAGGGTACTCTGAGCAGAAGAAAGGGCATGTGCAAAAACATGAATACATGAGCAAGCACGAGGTGTCATAAGGCCATTAAGTGATCGAGTGATGCAGCCTACGGTGTGTGAAACAGTGGAGCAGGAGATAAGAATGGAGATGTTGGCTGAGCAGTCTTACCTGTAGAGGACTTAGTGTTTTGTATTTCTGAATTCTCCAATCAGGTAAAAGCTGGAGAGGATGGAGGGAAGGGGCTAATATTTCCCTCTACTTGCTTGATAATTACAACAGGTTTAATTGAGAACATTTCATTGGTTAACTTATAAAAATTAAATCATTTTACTTTTCCAATCTCTGTTACCAAATTTGCTTCAAACCTATTTCTCGTTGACAGGTAGGCTTCCTTAATGACATTTCAATTCAAGCCTTTCTGTTTTAAAAGTTTGTTTTGTTCAGACCTCTGTCCCTCCTTCTAACTTAATTAGGGCTTGAGTTCCACCAGAATGTGGAGTTGACAGAGGTGTTGTCTTCTCCTTCTCACATCACCCTCTAGATTGTCATTTCTCTTAGATTTCTCCTCTGGTAGTATTGGGGCAAAAAAGGAAACTGGAAATGGAATTTCCTTATCATTCCACTGTGGCCAGTCCCTTTTTCTTGGTTATCTCTGGTGATGTAGCCTGGATGGGTGGATAGTCAACCATGCACAGATGCTGGGAGACTCCCACAGCTCCCCCAGCCATGTGGTCCCTTGGATGATTCAGCTGTCTCTTCCACAGAACTCCTAGCAATGGCACACCGTGACTTACCATGCATGCACCACTGCCTGAGCCCTAGCAGTCCCTCCCATTCCTCCCAGAGTGCCCCTTTCTCATCTGTCCTCAGCAGCTTCAAACATGAGGCTTGCAGGCATGAGTGGCAGGTATCTTTCCTCCTCCTCAAGTTGAGCTTACCAGGGACAGTCCTTGCCTCTTCTCTTCCTGGCTGACCTTTCTTGTCTTCACTGTCCAGGGTTCTTTTCCAACCTGGGTAGCAACAGGGCAATGCAGGAAATTCCATGGGTAAGTGGATATCCACCTAGGAAAGAGACATTGCTCTTTACTTCCTGGAAGAGTATAAATACTATAAATACTTTTCAGAGTGCCCTTTCTTGCCCTCAGCTCAGGATGTCCCTAAACCCATAGGAAGGTGAGCAAAAGGAATGTGGCCTCTCCATAGTCACTGCACTCCCTGAAAAGGACACCTCCTTCCCCTGGTAGCCTGTCTTTTCTGTTTGTGATGGTAAAGAATGTCAAAGCACTTTTGTTCCTGTAGTAAACAAACAAAAACAGAGAGATAGGGGTGGTTGCTAAATATGAATTTAGTTTTGGAGAATTTAAGTAACTTTCTTCTCAACAGGGCAGTGTCTTAATTGTAACATTTGTTCTAGTTCACGAAAAAAAAACAAAAAAACAAAGGCAAAGTAAGTACTCAATCAATACTTCACCGCATTTGGTTCTGTAGTAATATTGAAGGTGGTCTAGATTCTGGATCATAGCCAGAATCACTGAGTTTAAATCTGGGCTCAGGAACTTATGAGCTGGGTGATAGCAAATGGCTTGTTTTTTTGTTTGTTTGTTTGTTTTTTGTTTGTCTGTTTGTTTGTTTGATTTTATATGTTCAATTTCCTCATCTGTAAAATGTATTTCCTTACAGAGTTTTTCTCAATAATTAAAATTATATTTATTGTTTTTTATAATATTACTGGAATTATATGTGTATTTGCTATAGTATAGTATAATGTTCATTGCTGTTGTTATTGTTATTCATAACATAGACTTAATTTATCAGGCGGGAGAGTTTCACATTTATATTAAATAAAGATTCGTTAAAACAGTCAGGGACTGGTGTCATCGCTACTTTAGAGAGACTTACTCCTATATACACAGGTAATGCTCATTTGTGGAAGCAATCCACATCATTGAGTTTGCTTCATTGTTGAGTTAATATTTATATACAAAAGTATTTTAATTGCCAAGATTATACTTAAATGCTTGTTAAACACATTAAAGAATAGTGTAAGCCTTTTCTACATATTGGCTTATCCTCAGCTCCAAAAGACAGAATATAGGACCTGCATAACAAATGCTCTTACATTTCTGGTATATATATCTGAGAAAGTTTAGGACAGAGAGACTACATAAACACATGAGAGGAAATAGTCTCCCCCAGCCTGTGAACTTCTCAAGTCCAGTTGGACTTGAGAATGTTCATCAGTCAGCACTTGTGACTGAACTCTCCATACCACCCCCATCGATTTCCCCTTTCTGGAAAGAGCCATAGTTTAGAAAAACTATTCCACAAAACTCACTGATCACCTTCTCCAAAGGACTGTGATCAGTTTTGAATTCTGCATGTTAAATCAGACATGGAGAGCTAGCATGGAAAGTACATCCAGAGTTAACAAAGGGATGGGACAGCATTTTATCAAGGAAACATTGACAGGGTCAAGATTCTATGATTGGAAGAAGGGAGCTTATCATTAATGAGATTACATTCAAAATGTGCAACTTGTTGGGAATAAAAATAGTACATATTCATGGATAGTTCTTTAAGGGAAGAGAAAAGAAACTATCAAGTGCTTATTAGGCACCTGGTATGTTGTCATTCTCTCTCTCTCTCTCTCTCTCTCTCTCTCTCTCCTCATCCATTCATCTATCTTCTCTAATTTTATTTCCAAAATAGTCTTATGAAATAGGCATCCTTTTTGTAAATCTTGATTCTCAGGAGGTTAGGTACTTTTCCCAAGGACACCTACATAGAAAGTAGCACAGTTTGGATTTGAAATCAAATTGGAGTCTGCTGTACAACAGTGCAGCATGAAAAGTCTTTATTGAAGCGGAGAGCTCTGGTCACACCATTCATAAAGCACTTTCAGGATAAGTGAGATATAGTGAAGAACTTCCTAGGGCTTTTATTTAAAAAATGATAAAGAACCAGAACTGACTCTAAATCTGGAAACCATTAAACAGAGCTAATAACCCACCATTTGGGGTGGATCTGGAAGCCCATGTACATGCTACGTGGCAGAGGTGTTGTTTGTGGTACAGGTGAGAGTGGGGAGCTGAGCTTCCCACTGGTCTCAACTTCACCTTCCTTGTTCCTTATGAAGACCTCCCTTGGCAGGGTGCAATATGGCTGTCATGCCACATATTGGTCGTTAACACAGAGAGGATTCCCTCCAGCTGTTCTAAATAATGGCATTTTCTTCTAAAGCTATTTCCAAATCTCTTCTTTCTTCTTACTCACAAAAGCTTATTAGCAGTTTGCCAATAAATATTGTTTTAGCCTTTTGCACTGTTTTCCACTTGAGTGAAATTACCTCTGTGATAACCACAACCACTAATGCTAATTCTCTGCTAATATGGGACCAAAGATGTGAAGGCCTTACCCTGACGTCATAAATGGAAGAGTGAGTCCTTTTATAAAAAACACAACTTGTAATCTCAGCTATACTCCATTGTTTTAGCTGGTATAAAGCATTTTTCTTCATATCTAGTGAATCATGCAGTATGAAAAATACTGTTTTCCCTGCAATCATGGAAGGAAATAGAGTCTAGAATCAAAAAATTGGTTTAGAATCCTGCCCTCTTTGCCATCTGTTGTTGTCATTCTCAAAACAGGACCCTTACCCTCTCTAAGCATGAGTTTTCTCCACAACCAAGAGGAGAATAGCACAGGACTCACCAACTTTCTACAAAAGTAGCAGGTACATATTAGACCCTCAATAAGTACTAGTTCAATATATACTTATTCCAAGTGTTCCGAAAAAACAAAACTTTTATTTTTATACCCACGATTAGCTTGAAGACCCACGTTGAACACCTGCTATTAAATATATATATGTATGTATATGTGTATACTGTATATGTGTGTATGTATATGTATATATATATGTATTTATGTAAAGCATTTCTGGATATAAAATATTTGAGGCAGAAATAATTTTGTGCTGCAGGAATATTTAGAAGGGGATACCTCAGTAATTCTCCACAAAGCCCAGAACACTAAAATTCATGCTCTAAGTGCCCAGCTGGCCAACAAATAGAGAGATAATGTGACATACAATCATTGTCACTGAGCCCATAGTGGGAAAGTAATTTTTCACTTTGCATAGGCCAACGGGTCTTTAACAGGATTCTCATTAAGGTGTTATACTGCTGAGTGCAGGCAATCAACTGAAATTGGAAATTTTCTTGCTTCAAAATTCTCTTTCCTAATGCTTTTGTGAAAAGCAACTACTTAGGATATTTTTTAAGTGAATGTACTTTAAAAGTCCATATGTTTATATATTTTTCACCTAAGTTGCTATTTACTTGACATAAAATAATTGGAGATATTTCAGATTTCCACTTAATTTGATCCATGAAGACAACAAAACTGTCTAATTGAGCCTCTACCTAGAGTTACTGCTGTTTTTTAAATCGATATCTGAATCATCTTTAACTATGCCAGACATGAGGAGGCAGAATAACATCCCCATTAACAGTGTGAGCTCCTTGCTTCAGGTTCAAGTTGACAGAT